TACAGAGCATTTATTGCATCCTCCCCGAGAGGAGTACATTGTACCGTCGGCATCCCGATGACCCAGCATTGATTGCTCGGGACCCCGAGCAGTTAAGAAGAGAAGACATTCCTCATCAGAATCAGTGCGCACACTGCCTGTACCTAATGATCACCTACTGACTACACTGACAGCAATCATGAGCTTTTGAGGTATAAATACTCCTTGCAAAAGGCAAGACGGGTATGCAACAAAAAACTCTTTACTACAATACACACTCAGTGTTTTCTCCTTCCTCTCTCTTTCTCAAAGACTGACTAGATCGTCGGAGGGGATACGCCGAAAAACACTCCGGCGCCCTTCTAACTTGTTCTTCTTTGTTCTAGGAACCTCTTTCAGCCTTACTGGATCGTTCTTCCGCTCCCCCAGGGTCTCCCGTTGCCGTTCCAGGTTACCACCGGACCTCGCAGGCTGTTCCAAGCAGCGTGGTTGGTCACTCAACTGGCTCACTCGAGTTCACCAAGGGAGAGATCTGTTCTCATTTTTATATTGTGCAGGATCTTGCACGCACAATTACTATGTTCCTGTAGCCTCACCTAGAAATGCACCGGATATGTCTCGCACCATTATTGGTTTTTATGGAATAAGAAAATTCTTGAAAATATTCTTGCAAAATTGCTGCTAGATCGTACTGTCTATGTTCTTTGTAACCCCAGTGTGATGAGCTACACTGCCACACTGTTCTGAGTGGGGGAATAGAACGTGCGCCATTGAACGCTGATAATTTATGAATTACCTGTGTAGGGAAGTCAGGAATCAGGTTGGACTGGATCAGGAGACTTAGGATAACCCTTGGAACAGCCAGGCGTATTCAGTATCTGCATGACCTTGCCAACCCTCCCATCATACATAGGGACATCAAAACAAACAATATTTTACTGGATGAGCGCTTGACCGCAAAAGTTGCTGATTTTGGTCTTTCCAAACCTATGGATGACTCTGAAAAGGGTCATGTCACCACTCAAGTCAAGGGGACAATGGTAATTAAGTTTTGAAAGCATGATATTTTGCTGTAATCGAGGGTTCATACCAAGGAATGCACAAAGATATTCCTTTAACTGTGGAAATTAAAATGATTTCACTGAAAGAGAAAGGGTTACACAATATGTTCTCACAATTTCCCATAACATCACTCCAGCATACATCATAGGAAAATATGCAGCCGTTTTTCAGAATGTCTGATTCATCAAGAAGGACCCATCATTTCTGTAGTTAAAAAGAATATTTAATGCAGTAAAATCTACGGAATCACTAAAGATAAAAAGTTTTGAGTTCATTGAAGATTCTGCAACTTTGCTTTAGTTTTTTGGATTGAAAATTGGAAGTTTATTGCAGGGATACATGGATCCTGAATATTACATGACTCAACAGTTGACTGAGAACAGTGACATTTATAGCTTTGGAGTGGTAATGCTTGAGATGATAACTGCAAGAAGTCCCATTGAGAAAGGGAAATACATCGTAAGAGAGGTGAAGCAAGCAATGGATAGGACCAAAGAACTATATAACCTTCATGGAATTCTTGACCCAGTCATTGGTTTGAACAGTACTGCACCAAAAAGTTTAGAGAAGTTTGTGGATCTGGCACTGAGGTGTCTCGAAGAAACAGGATTTCTCAGGCCAGCAATGAGCGAGGTGGTGAAAGAGCTTGAGAACATCATGGAATTGGCTGGGCTGAACCCCAATGCTGAATCTGCGTCCACTTCCGCAAGCTATGACGAGGGAGGTAAGGGGTTCGACCATCCTTACAGCAACGAAAGCCTCTTTGATTGTAGTGGAATCTATCCACCCTCAAAGTTAGAGCCCAAGTAAAGATCATTGTTTTACCTCCAAGATGAGGATGTGTATACAGTTAATTGGTTTTCACCGACTGTGGAACATTTAATTTGTCCTGGCCTTGTGGTATTTGAACATGCTAAAGAACTAGAACTGTAGTTATTCAAATTCTGATTAGTTTTCTGGTGGTGGTGAGGGGTTGCAGCCAGCTTGTTAATATACTAGAAAAACACGGGGGTTTAAATCTGAAAGGCTGTGAGAGAAGATGAAGCGGAAACATAAGGCAAAAACTTTCTATTTTTGTAGAAGCTCCATTTATGCAAGTGATTTCTATTCCTTCTAGTCAAGGATCAAAATTTTATTGCGGTGGATTTTTTCGGTTTTCGCAAACTAGTTTACAAGAGTTTCATATGCTTATCGAAGTTGTAACAATCCGCATTACTGTGAAGAAAGATTAGCAAACCAGTCTGAAATCTTGGAACTTCATTACACAAAATTCTTGTGTGTTTGTGACAAATACAATTGCACCTCAGGTCATCGGTTTCTCGAACAGGGCTGAGAAGTACCACTCGTTTTTATCGATTCCCCGGTCGCGCTTCATGCTAGCATTCCATCTCAGTTTCTTGAATCCGACACGATCCAACGTCGGAACATAGGTTGTGTTCAGCTGAGATCCGAGGCAGAAGAAATGGTCGAGCCAGAAGAGCCCACCCCGTCTCAACACTCTGTGTATATCATAGAGAGTGAACTCGAGCATGGCTTCTGGTATTCAATTGCTAAGCACATGCATAGAATGCACTGTGTCCACCGCGTATTCTCTTTTCCCTGTAAGTCGAAGCAATCATTACAATCATAGAACCCTGGAAGATTTTTCCGGTTAATAAGGCACTTGTAGCTTTTACATGTGTAGGGGTCCCAAATTATGCTTCTATCAGGCGGCATTGTCCAGAGGCCGTCGGGTAGTGGAGTTGGCTCCATATAATTTATGGTGGACTTCTCTATATATGTTCAAGCTCTACATATATAGAGAAGTCCTGTATGATAACACTACAATACCCCTTTTTTTTTTTTTTTTTTTGTGACAGAGCATTGAAATTTTTATAAAATACATGGTAAGTTTACTAAAATGAGATTATTTTTTGATAGCATAAGTCCTTCCACACTAAAAATAAATATGATCATTTATATTATTTTAGTTTTCAAAGTATTGAATATGTTTCTATGTAATCCCTCAAGTAAACAGTGTCTAGATTGTTAATAATTTTATATCATAAACTTGTCATGTAATACCTAAATATGGACAAAAAAATTTATTTGAATGACTATTGACCAAATTTTTACTCAAATTTTGGTGAAAAAGTTATCCAAATTACACATTTTTTTTATCATGAACTATCCAAATTTTGATCAAGAGCTACTCATATTACATATTTTTGGTCAAAAGATGCCCAAATTTTGGTCAAGAGCTCTATCCAAATTATTTTTTTATCTATATTTAGTCATTATATGACAAGTTTATAATAAAAAATTATTAATAATTTGGACATTGTCTGATTGATAGACCACGTTGAAACATATTCAGGGGATCAAAATAATATAATTAAAATATTAAAGATTAAAATAAAATAAATTTTGTACCTCAAAGACCTCTAGTCTAATTAATCCACAAATTATATATCGAGAACTTTTGAACGAGTTGGAATCAAAGTAGTTTTTATTTTAATATTGAGTGTTGAGCCACTGGTCACCGACCCGTGCTCATCCAATGGGCCAACCGACAAAGACTGACTGGCCTATAGTTGAACTATCGAGTCAATTTTGATGGGCCTTTAACGGACTATCTATCAAAACTGTTTTGGAAACTTTTACATGGGCTGTAATCAAATTAGTTTTTAATTTAGGGGTTTTAAGAGAGCCGGTATTTTTTTTAGAAATTATACGACAAAAAATATTACTTTTAAAAATATAGGTCAAAAAGTACACAATCCCTAATAAATTTCTAAAATACCCTCTTCAATAGAATAGGAACTGATTCCTATATTTTTGCTTTCACAACCAAAATTTAAGGGATCTCAACTGTTACACATAAATCCCTTCAATATAGTCAAAAACCTTATTATTCCAATAACTTCCATAAAAAACATCCATTTGAATTTCCAAAACTTTCGGTGTAAATGTCAGCCAAGTGGGAGAAAAAAATGTGCACCACATTTCATCCAAACTTCATAAAATGTTAAGGTTAATTTTGAAAAAAAAAATAATATAATAATAAAAAATAGTAAAGTAACAAAAACACATACATGACACATTTTTTATTTGTCTACAGTAACAAAAATTACATTTCAGCTCTGCAACACTCATTTAAGAAAAAGTTACCAAGTCAACTAACGCAATAGTACTTAGGATATACAAAAATGACTGATTCTTTATGTAGATAATAGACATGCCAACTTGATCATGTCAATATATGTCGTGATACTAACTTGCAATAATGTGATATTGGTTTCTAGCAATGTGAATTTAATTTATAGCAGTGTGACATTTTCTAGTACCTGTGTGATATTATCTTGTAGCACTATGACATTATTGTGCGAGATAGTAAATTATCCTTCGAATTAAAATCATCATCTTGATTATTACGATCATCCCCATTCGAGTCACTATCATTGACATTTATTCTTACATGAACGTGATTGACGTTAAGAGACCGTAACAATTTTTTTATTTTTTTAAAAAAAAACATATGGACGACATTGTAGCAGTGTGACATTTTCTAGTACTAGTATGACATTGTCTTGTAGCACTGTGACATTATAGTGCGATACAACAAATCATCTTCCAATTACAATTATCATATTAATTATGACGATTTATATAAAAAAAAATTATACAAATATGAAAAAGACATGAATGTTTGAATAACTTAAGTTGAATTAAAGAGAAAGATATAATTTAAAATTCAAAAATGTTATTCCATAAATTTAGGAAACTGAATTTCTAATATAACTGTCATATTTGTCTACCATTAATAAAGGAAAAGGGCAATTCCGTAAGAGAAAAAATTTCAATTCAGTAAAAGTGTACCTCTTCACCAAACATTTACACACAAATGTACTTATACACATATGTTTTATATTGAAGTACTTTTACACAAAAAAGTCTGAAATAGTGTATTTTTTTACAATTTTCCCTTAATTTAGGGCTAATCTCAAATTACACCCCGAAAGTTAAATTTTTTATTTTTTATTTAACATTTCTTTAGGAGGAAGAGGAGGGAGACTTAAACCCTTAACCTCAATAATGCAAATCCTTGATAAAGTAAGAAGTACCATTGGACCAAATGCCCATTATATGGAAAGATAATTTAAATCTTAATTTGTACTCTTAAAATTTAAAAAATTAATTTATACCTTGAAAGACATAAATTTATATCAATGTGCACCAGGGGTTAACTACCGTCTATTTTACCGTTACAAAAATTTGGGCTAATTATAAATTGTACCTTCAAATTTAAATATTTTATATTTATGATCCAAAAAGAATTTCATCAATTAATACCCGTTAAATATCTCAATTTTGTAGACAAAATTACATTTTTGTGTCGCGTCATTTGTGCCATATCGTATTTATTTTTGTATCATGTTCGAGTCAATAAAAAATTATTTTTAACACAAAATATTTTCTTGTCGAGTCAATTGTATTATGTCTTATATTTTACATTTACGACAATTCATATAATATTATTTTTAAAAATTTAAAATACCTATTTTTTTTCTTTTTCTATTTAAAGTTAGTCACGATATGACACAATTAACAGTTATTTAACGAGCATTAATGGATATAATTATTTTTGGATCATAAATGTGAAATATTTAAACTTCGACGGTTCAATTAATAAATATCTCAAATTTTTTTAATGGCAAAATGAACGATGATTAACTCCAGTTACACATTGATACACATTTATGTCTTTAAAAATGTAAATTAATATTTTTAAATTTTGAGAATGTAAATTAAAATTTGATGATTATAAAGTGAGATTAACCCTTTAATTTAATATTGAAAATAATATAATTACGTTTTATTTTCCCAATGTTTGATGGTAATGGGCCCAATAGTATATCTCATTGTGTGCTGTAAATGGGCCAGCCCATTGTATGAAGGCAGGCCAAAATTGCAGCCTATGATCCTACAAGTTAGACCACTTGACAACACGCAGACCTCCACACAGTATACGCCTTTACGACCGTGACAGCTGGATACCACAATCACAACATTGTACATAACACCTGGGTCCATGGACAATGAATGCGAAAGGTTGCCAGGCGGTCCAAATTGTTAGTAGTACTATAATAGAGGCTCAATCTAATCCAATCCCTCTCATTGGGAACAATTAGAGGGATTGGATTAGGGCCACAGGTAATGTTAGTTTAAATTATTATTAGTTGTTACATGCAGACGTTGCACATATAATATTTTTAAAGGATAATAAAAAAAATACAAAGTAATAAAAAAAATAAATTCATATTTTTTTCATAGTTTATGTACTTGGATTGATGAAGAAGGGTCAAGAGTTTTTTTCGGTAAGTAAGCAAGCGACAAGAGTTGGACAAATAAAACTAACTATATCTTATCAAAAGATTAATAATGCACAAATATTCTCATCCTTGCTTATGTAACTTTACCAAATAATCCGAAACATCATCATCCCCTCACCAAGGTCAATATCAATAGTAAAATATGAGAGATTACTTGTTTTAAATGGAAAAAAATGAATATTATTAGAGAAAAAAAAAAGATATATCAAATCAACAGAAAAAACAAAGCATAATTGTTTGACACAAAGTCACAAGCTAAGTTTCATAAATTTTTCACTATGTTGCTTATTTAGTGATCGCTAACTTGTAGACATAATAATTATGTTGAAACATAACAAAAGAGAAATTTCATTTTTTTTTCTTGGTGAAACAAAAAATCCTTTACCTCCTAGAAGGAATAAAGAAAAAGAAAAGCACGAAATAAAAAAAGAAATCTTTGCTTGGATAAGCCCGGTAGGCAAGCACAATTTGCATGAAAGAAAAAATTTGAGATAATCGACACAACAACGGACTATCAAAATAAAAAATTTCCAAATAATAACATAGGAAATTTTTTTCAAATTTCTAGTGTTTATCAGAACTCTCTTTTATACAGATATGAAAACCAAAGTGAATTGCTATCATGCTTTAATCTTCACACATAGACTAAAAAAAATATTGATTGATAAACAAGAAAGTACAGAAAATAAAAGCAAAAAAGTTGGAAGCTAGAACTACATTACTCTAGTATTGGGAGATTTTGACTAGGGAAATGGATTAATTTTTGCCGAGGCTGATGAGAATGCAATTAATAGGGAACAATACAAAATGATACTTCAAGAAGAGTCCCTTAACTTCCCCAAAGAGTAAGGTT